AGGTTCAATTACTCAATTTACGTCCATCAATTATCAAAACTGAACCTAGAACCTTAAACACATGATAAGAATGACATTGGCGGGTCATTGGTCACGCGCCGCCGCATGGGCCGCCGCGGTGAATACTATATAAACGTTATTTAAAGAATATAACCAACAATTCTCAATAACTTCTCATACGGTGCTCAATTTGGGTATATGAATATACCACAGTGACCTACTCGACGTCACGGACGTCGACATATTTTTAAAATAATTTTTTGATGTGGCACGCGCCTCCACGCGTCGAGGACAGGCACGGTACACGCGCGGTTACGCGCAGGCCACGCGCCGCACTTGTCATCTTCCTCACTGGGCTCGCCGGACTGGTTTTGCCCGGTGGCCAGATTCCGGCGAGTTTGTAATTCCTTGTTCTCCTTTGTTTCTTAACCGTTTTCTTCGAATTTTATATCAATTTGAAGCCCTCAACATGTAGTTTCACGCTATACTACTTTAAAGCTCTAAAAATCATGAAATCTCACCGGAGAATTTCCAAGAAAATCGGCCAACTTCGAACTCGACGATCCCGACGTCCAAAACCTTCAAACGAAGCACTCCGAGCTTCCTTAGGACCTCACTAAGCTCACTATAAACTTAGAATTCCCTGAAAATCAACATTTCACGTCCACATGAACAGTACTAAAAAACTGGGGTTCGGATTTCAGGAGTTTTCGAAGGTTTCCAGTTCAAAAATTAGTACCATTCGAATCAGGGAGTTGAAAGGATGAAGAATCTCACCTTTTTGGCGTTGATCCGTGATGAGTTGGAGGGTTGGTGCTTCGTCCGTACATATTCGAGAGGGAGAGAGTGAGAATCGTGAGGGAAGAGAGAAAGAGGGCACGGAATAGGAGAGAGAGAGAAAGCAGGTTGTGTGGTCCAAAACAAACCCTAACCATACAAAATGTATAAAAAATTTAATCCAACTTAATTTTTCCAAAACTTAGGAAAATAGGCATTATTCAATGATATGTCACACACACCTTAGTACCCGTCAAGGGCAATTTCGTCATTTCACCACCTCAATACATAAAATCACGGGATGGGCTGTGACAATCTCCCTAAAGAGTGGAGCTAAGAAAAAAAATTTGGATAAATTTGTGGTGCTGGTTTATTAGTGAATTGAATTAAGATTGATTATGAAATGGACCAAAAAAATTTGGTCAGCCGAGATAAATCAAACATTCACTTAGTACTACGGTCTAGTAATATTTCTCTTTATTTGTAAGAAAAATATCTTAGGTTCGATTTTTGTCAAATGCGAAGTTTGAACCATATTATTACAAGCTCAGTTTGAGATTAAGCTCACTCCTTCTCCTTAATGTAAACAATATAAGCTGTTACAAAAATAAAATAATAAATAAATAAAAATCAAGTAGAGCAACACCATTCATTCTTTTTTACTTTATACGACTGAAATAATTGAAACACGGGAATCAAGTTTTTGAATGTGAGAATAAGTATCGGAGTATGTAGGTTGGCTAGTTTTAAATTATAATTCGTATGATGTCGTTTTTTATTTGATAAGGTTGTTGGGGAAATTGTAATATAATCCTTCATGGTGTTGCTTATGAATTTTTTTTTAAGATTTTTATTTAAGCAATTGGTTGAGGGATGATCATGTTATTTATTATGTTTGGTGAATAAGATGATTGGAACTGAGTATTGTTAGTTAATAATGAGTGTTTTGGATGAGTGAGAGCAAACAATTTTGGTTTTGTTTTGCCAATTGGTTTATGTCTCTGGTGAGGTTTTTTTATTTTTACAACGAGGCATAAGCCCAAAAGAAAAAGAAGATCACATAAAAATATCATGAGGCTACGAGACTTCGACTATATCTGCAACTAGCAATGAATGACAAGAAAGACGAGCTTGCTCAAAAAAAAACTGGACCCAAACTGCATGACAAACCAAAATGAGCTAAATCATCAATAACAAAATTCTTTTCATGATAGATATGACAAATTTAACAAGACCACCTTTAATGCACAAGGGCACGACAATTCAGTACTAAACTTCCCATATGGTGATTATTCACTTTTTGTATTTGAAACCAATTGAAATGCAAGAGCAAAATCTAATTTTACCATAATTCATTTTGATGCTTAAGAATCAAATTGGGATTCGATTAAGCAATTGTTTGAATTATTACTTTATTACTCATTATGTTAGAGTAATGTGTAAGTTAGCAGAATTTGTTATTAACTGAAGTTTAACGTACTGAAGTTTAACGTTTAAGTTTACAATGCTAAATATTTTGGTTGGAATTATTACAATCAATTGCCGCATCTTTCGGGCCATACCAAGTTAGGGCATTTTTTGGATAAACTGGAATCGATTAAACCAGGGCACAGAAGCCACAAGAACAACAGAAGCCTACCCAGAGGCAAACAGCAGAGACAACCTGGTAATGCAAGGGGATGAAATACCCAGACGCATCAAACAACAACCCGCGTCCCCCCTCCCATTACCAAGCAAACTCAAGGAGGACAAGGGAGTCCATCATTACATAAAACATGAACCAAAGAAGATGGAGGCCTATTGACCCAAGTAAAATCACACATCTCCCTGTTTCTACGCGACGCCAAACAATCCGCCGCCAAATTGGCTGATCTTAGAATCCAAGACCAGCGACAGTCTTGAAAGGAGTTTCCAATCAGCTTACATTTCGTCAACACCGGAAAAGCCTCCCACCTGCCATTTGAAGTCTTACCCATAAGGTAAGAAATAGAATCCTGGGAATCAGATTCGATCACAATCAAATTAAATCCCATAGCTACACCCAACTCACAGCCGTGGCGGATCGCAATGGCCTCAGCCACTGCCGCAGAATGCGCAGCAAAGCAACCTCTCCTAGCCGCGATAAAGGTTCCGGCCGAGTCCCTAACCACAACCCCCGAGAAGCCCGAGTTTGTACCCTGCTCCCAACTTGAAAAGGATGGATGGGATATCGACTTCCTTAAACCTTTCATCTCGGCATCTGAGTTTGTCGCCATTCAGGAGACTCAAATTGAGGTCCCTTGTTTGGATGACAGGTTGGTTTGGCCTTTTGATCGTCGTGGGCTTTATACGGTTAAATCGGGATACCACTGTGTGCATGCTAAGCGTGAGCAAAGGGTCAATTTTGGCTCCTCCTCCTCCGTGACTGTTCCTGGTAAGTTATGGAAAGCCATCTGGAATCTTAATACCTCGCGAAGCTTCGTGTTTTCTTGTGGAAGACGGTTCATAACGCGCTGGCAACGTTGGCGGGCCTTTTTAGGAGGTTGGTGGCGCCATCTCCTCTGTGTCCTATTTGCCAAATCCACGAGGAGACCATTGAACATCTATTTCTGCTCTGCCCGTGGGTTGAGGTGATTTGGTTCGGTGGGATGTTGAGTCACAGAATTATTCGTAGTTCTATTTCTTCTTGGGTGAATTGGCTTGTCAACATCACTAATACCACTTTGAATTCGAAGGCTGAGATGGATCGGGTGTTATCTTATGTGGCTTTTACGTGTTGGCACATTTGGAAGAGTAGATGCAATTTCCTTTTTCAAAATGGATCTATTAACCCCAGGAATGTGCTTGCTGCCATTGACACATCTGTTAGTGCGTTCAGTGAAGCTTCCAGAAACAAGGTGATTAGACCTTCCATGCCCAACCCAGCTGCTCAAGTGCCAGCCCGGTGGTGTCTCCCAAGTTGGGGCATTTTATTGTGGGATTTATCATAATTTTTGAATGCTTCAATATAAACATTGCATATAGTTGAACTTCAAATACAAATGCTCTCGATTAGGGATGGGCAATGGTTATGCGGGCGGGTAACCGCGGTTATTTTACCCAACCGTTTATGTTCATACCCGCATAACCGTTTACCCGTTGGATAATTACATAAATGGTTATACCCATAACCATAACCGTTTATAAACGGTTATCCATACCCATAACCGTGTACCCATTTACCCATAACCATTTACCCATTTAACCATAATCATAATCATTTACCCGTTTACCCATTTTTTCGCCTGTTTATCCTTTTTTTACCCATTTACCTTTTTTTTTCTCCCGTCTACATTATTTTTTTAACGATAGTTAATCAAAAAATGAAAAGCACTTCCAACTGCTTTTCCAAGAAGCATTTTCAATAAAAATTTCGACTTTTGTTCTTTATTTTTTGAGTTTCTGATCAAACCTGAACTTGATATCACTAACACGTCAATTTTAAAATATTAGGCATTCTTAAGCACTTTTAAGCAGAAGCACTTACATGTCCAGCAATAGCCAACTCCCCCATAGCTCGAGCATCAGCCCAATCAGTAGCCACCATAAGCGTCCTCAGCTCAACAAAACACAATTGCTTGCTACCCAATTCAGTAACCAATCTACTCAATCAATTAATGTTGTGAACAGTCAATAATACCCTTCAAACAACTAGTGTTATCAGTTATACATCAGAACTACATGGGCATGTCTGTCTTTCCACAATTTAAAGTGGATTGTCCTCAAACAAAAGTATGGGGTCTTCATGTCAGTTGCGCAAGCGAAACAGAAGCAGATTGAAAAAAGCAGCTTTGGGTGAAGAAGTCAGTGAAACCTGCTTTTGTTGCATGCAACTTCGGTGCTCTCTGCTCGACAGTTTTCTAAAGTCACCTCAATCACTTCTTCTCTCCTATTAAATTAAAATGTCACGGTAATAACATGAATGGGTAAATAGATACCCGTTATACCCATAAATATTAACCATAACCGATGGATACCCGTTATAACCACGGATAATATCCATAACCGCCCATTTAAATTTCATGGATAAACGGTTATACCCATAACCGTTTATTTGTTTAAACGGTTACCCATAACCATAACCATCAACTTTAAATGGGCGGGTAACCGCGGTTACCCATACCCATGGATATTTTGCCCATCCCTACTCTCGATCGTGGAAGATATAAAGAAACATTTGGATATGTCAAACATTTTTTATTTGGCAAAGGAATATTATGTAAGGTAAGAGTACTTCTGAATATCCAATTAATGTATAATATATATATTGGAAATTGTTGTTGCTGCTTCGAAAATCTAATTGTGCATTCTTTATAAGATTTTTTTTTTAAATATAGAAAGTCTGAAAAGCACAATTAAATTCTTAAAGTGTCAATATTAGTTCCATTTTGACCATTTCATGAATCCCTCCTACATGCGAACTTGTGCGATCAAAGTGCCTATGGAACTGGCCTCCTCTTTAGCAGCCTCCACAAATCGATCCTGTTATGAAATTCAAATCCTCATTAGAGATATTCTAATCCATAATGCAAGCTAGTAATAGTATATAGACACTCAAATTTGATAACATTACTAACACACACCTCTCTTATTGTATTATACATGGGATTCAAATTTCAATTGTATTAGAGAGTCTGTGCAATTTTGTAATATGTCTATGAGTATAATAAATAAAGTAGGATTCTATTCACTTTTATTCGTATCATCTTCCCTCTCTTTCTCTCATATTTTGTTTTTTTTTTTTGTCTTATTGTCTATATAAAAAAATCAATATAAAATATTGACGTGACTTAATCGTAACTGTTCAACTAAAATAAAATAAAAGAGGAGAGAGATTGGAATGGAAGAAAACCTCCTCCATAATAAATAGCATACATGTGTAGCTATCATGCGTCCGACTGTTCTCTTGCTCGACTCTTGAAGCTCCCCTGCAAGTAGAAGCTCATCCAATATAAAGTAGGCCTGCAGATATACATGCCACATAACTTCCATTAAAATTTTAAAAATACATAAATATTAAAAGCAATATACTAGTTACTATCGTACAATGGAGAAGAATATAATACACAGAAAATAACGATACCTTGTGGAAGTTAAAAATCAAGTCCAATTCACAAACCTATTTACACAAGAAAGCAGATCTTATATAACAACTGCAAGAGGGATTAAAATTGAAGAATTAATGAAAGCTCACTACTTACGCTGCCGAAATAGCGATCGAGTATCTCAACGTAATGGTGAATTATTTCAAGAATTTCCAATTCGTTGTCATCCTCATCAACACACATGCAGAAATAGAGGCTCGCATATCTGAACACAATAATAAACCACTAATTAAACATCAATTGTTTTGCATCTTCAACGTATGAACAGTGAGTATCCAGTTTTTGTGCCTTTACCTTTTGTAAACAACTTTGAATCCCCTCCACTCCACAAAGTTGCACAACTTGGGACCCCGATTCAGTATTATGCCACTCAGTTCCCGCATTACCTTTTTTTTTTTTAATGGGACAAAAAATTAATTACAAATTTATCATGCAATCACAAAATGAACAAATTAGGATCTTTCTTGTCGATTTATTACATTCTGGGTTCAAATTCTTCCTCATTTTATTAATGTAGATTAGTATAAAATATCATTTATAATCGAAAGTGGAGGATTGAAAACTTATTACCTTAGATCGTTCCTTCTGGGGATAGGTTGAAAACCATTTGGTCAGCCTCACTTTTCCTTGTCGGCTAACAAGAATCACGAAATGAATCTGCATATGCATGGATGCCATCATGAACCAAGAAACAATATTAATTTCATTGCAATTATTAATACCCAAAGCTCTTACATCTGATCATGCGTAGCGTACCAATGAAATTTTTTAAGATGTTGATTCAATTAACATAAATGAAGATAGAAATTACCATTATTGCTGATGAAATTGAGCAATTGATGCTTTTGGATGATTGAATATCTTCTTAATTATTACAATTTTAAATTCTTGAGTAAAATATGCGAGAGAGATGTCATTTCATTTTTAGACTTACTCGGGAACGCAACAAAAGGAGCGGGCGTTGTGCTACAAATTTGGGTTCAAAGACAACCCATTCAACAGAACATTGTTACACTACCACTTGGCACTTGTCTTTCTACCAAAGGAAAAGGATGAGAGGATTTTTGGTTTATTTTTTAAATACTGGATTAGAGGTATTGTATTTGAACCCTGCGAATGATTTACACTAGTTAATCATAATTTCCAAATGGACGGACTCATGGGTTTTCAAATTCGCAGTGGCAAGCGCCTATTGAGCTCGATATGCGTTTTGTAGTGCATTTCTTACTATTGTAGCCTAAACCGCTTGACTCCTAAAAATCCCTCCTGTAAATACAGTGAAAGGAAAACAAATTTTTAGCGTCATGTATAACAAAATTGGTGTTTAGTTTTTCTTATTTTCTTTTTGTGTTCAATTTAAATCCTTGATGTTTTTGTTTTAACAGAGAGACAGCATAATTCACCATTCCAATTAACTTCTTTTAAGTCAACCGGAGGAACCACAACTCCCTCCCTCCTCCCCAGTTCACAGCCATCTGAGGAAGGCGACATTCTTTCGAGCGTTGGAGATGGTACATTCCTGGTTTTTGCACAAAATCCACAAAGCTAGCTATCCATGACATAACAACCATTCCTGGTTAACTTACATTTGGAACAAAGCAATTCAGTTGAATATTTTCTACTTTAATCTCATCAGTCCAACTTTGCCTGTACAGATGATTAACACTTGCCCTTTATTTGGCTCCTATGACAAACAAACACAACTTCGAGTTGAATAATTACAAAGTAATTTATACATTGGTTACATCCTCATGGATCACATACCGAAAGGTTGAACTCTGAGGTAGCCAATGTATGTAATTGTCAAGCTTTCCTTGCATGCAGCTTCTGATAGCTTTCTTTTGAATATCCGAAAGACAATCATTTATTTCCTCCAAGAGGCCTACCGTACCCAGTGACATGTCTTTTGCATAGTAGTCAAGTATTTTAGGGAGGAAAACTTTTGTCTCCTTGCACGAGACACCAGCTTGAATGAAATCTGTTTGAGCAAGTTTCAGATCCTGAAATACGCTCTTCGCCGTGTATGCTCGAACCTACATCCAGTAAAGTGGCACCGTTTCAGACAAAGCTAGAAACAGGTAAACTAAAAATAGTTATAGAAAGAAGAAATTGTTACCGCTGGGTCAGTGTATGCCCCTGAACATAGAGCAAAATGGACTAGAGGCTCAGGGTATTCTAATGCGTACACATGTCTAATGCTCCCCGTCTTCAACTTCTTTCCTGAATGAAACAATGTTTGTCGCCACTGCATTCACATAGTATGAAGAAAGGCATTACAATGAGCACAAAATATAATACTACTATAAAAGGCATGCAATGAACATTGTGAACGCTGGATATGCATCAAATTAGCTTCAAATGATGGTTGCTCAGCATACTATGAGCCATTTTTCACATACTCTGAGGTTTAGATTAACACTATGATGGTTAGTCCACATATTCTGAGTTTCTAGGCATCAAATTAGAGTCAAATGATGCAGAATACGCAGCACAGCTGAGTTTCTTGGGCCGTTGTTCACAATGGCATTGCAGAAGAACGCCTGATATTCCTATAGCTCATACGCCTAATCTTGTCACAAAATTACATGGTTGGCTTGCAGGATATGTAGAGAGTCCTAAAACACTCAGACCATACAAGGTTTAGTAAGGTATCAGAGAAAAGTACAAATACCGGTGCTGAGCGGTGTGCTTGGATTCCTAAGATGGAGGTCTGAATGATATACGCATTTATGCTATGTCCACCTATATTATACGCTGCCTGAAAATAGGATTGTAAAGGACATAAGTGTCCATATGGGTGAGTCCCAAATAACATTTAAACAATAGTCTATAGGATGCACTTTTACGTACATTTAAAATTGAACTACTTTTCGCACGATTATGAGTTCCATATGCCAGGTATGCCTGCAAAGATTATGTCATAAACCCCATTAGACATGCATTTACTCCTGTGGCAAATATCTTCTGGCAATATTCATCCGTTTGCAATTTCTCTGAATGAGTTAAGAAAATACAAATGATTTTCTTAACGTATTATATACATCAATGTCTTAGAATAGTAATCATACTGTTACTGGAACATCCCATTTTTCCATAATCATAAGCATATAGAACAAGTAACTTTCAGAGTGAAGTTTTGACTATGAACCTAAAGTTTTACTGTGAAGAGAAAGAAAGATCGTAAAGGATTAAAAATTATGGTTTAGAAGCCATACATGCATCACCAAGGCATTGTGAATGTTAATCCAGAACACAAGCTTCTGCTCACGTTTCATCTTCAGGAAGTCAACCTTCTCTAGACTTTGGACCAATGACCTATATAGAGCATTCAAGCATGTCAAACTCAAAAAAATCTCACATATCTACGGAATTTTTGAAATATCAACCAGAAAAAGGGTAAGACACATGATATAATCATGTAGTTAACAGATCTAGTTTTACCAGATGGGAAAATAAAATCTAAACTTATATTTATCAGATTGAGATTCAATGTGCATAACCTGAAATTTTGCAGCATCATAACCGCACAATTGAAGCTGTCTTCATCTAAACATATCTTTGAAACTTCGGTCATTGTAGCACAAGGTCCACTTTTTTCTTTCAACCCTTGTGGATGCATTGTAGCTTCCTTATTGCAATGTGGACTCCAACTATCACAAGGATTCTTAGAAGAAAATATACTTGAGGAGGATAAGGATGAAGTAGGAGAAGCTGACAGGCGTGCATAGTTTTGGGGATTGGCGAGTTTGCAGTATATAGAAGCGATGCATCTCACGATATCTTCAGAAAGTCTATCCGGAGTATTAAGGGTACTATCATTGAGAGAATCACCAAGATGATCCGCTAGGCTGCGATGACAAGAATTAGCAATTTTGCGGTCCTACAAATGCATAAACTGTGGTTATAGACAAATCATAGCGCGAATTACTTTCTCTAGAAACTGAGCAGAAAATAGAAGTCGGCACAATATTGTAAAAACCCCTTTAGCCCTGCAAAGAGATATTTTAATTTTAATAAACAAGTTCATTTAGCTATTCACCTTTTCAGATGGTACTTTTATGCCAGTCGCACTACTTCGATTATCTGAGCTAGCCTGGAGATACGCGGGGGAAGTTTGATCATGATAGGTCAATTCATCTCTGTGCATTTGCAGCTCCAATTTGGAACGTCCTGTTTTAAATTGTAAATGGCTTTCTGGAGTACCTGGCAAAGAGCATCCTTGAAAAGCTGTTCGATACAGTGAAAGAAGATGACGCTCTAAATGCATAATTTCAAGCTCAAGTATGTCAATCTCCTCCTTCAGCTCTGTACAAGACTGTTATAGAGCCCAAATGCCAAATTAAAAATTGAAACAAACTAAGCAATTTTTTTTTCAATAATTAAAAAAAAAAAAGTGAAGTATTACCGAATGTAAGAAAATCTAAAAGGTGTGTGGAAGAGTTTTTGGGAATGGGGGGATGGTAAGAATAACTACAGTGAAACTACTAAAGTGAATAGTAGAATACAAGAAACAAACCTTTGGTGTTGGAGTGGCAAGGGAAGCAAAAGAGTTGACGGAACTAGAACCCAGCGCCTTGTCAGAATCCCAGCAAAGGGAAGCCCGATCAAGGGAAATCCTATCCAACTGTGCAGTCTGTGTCAAAGGATAGATACAGAGCATGTGTGAATATTGGTCTAGACTAGAGGACGAGATCAACCATGAATACCTAGTTAGCTAGTGTGTATATTGAGCGATATATACAATCTTCAAGTCTCTTCAATATCCTCAACATGTTATGCTGAATCCATAGAATTCAACGATGAAATCGAGAGAGAAAGCTTCAACTCATGAAATAAAGTGGTAAATTCAAAATTTATTGTCCGAAATTGAAACAAATTTAGAATGAACGAACAAATGAATGAATAATGGATGGTGAATCAGGAGCAATGCTGATGCATCAGGTGAAATAAAATGAGAGAGAAAAACTATTGGGAATTAACAAATTAAGATTTGTAATGTAAGACTTACAACAGGGTTAAACAAGGAGAGGAGTCCATCAATCTCGTCAGAAGTAGCGCTGCAATTTAACCAGACCAAGATTCATCATTCATTAATATCAGAAAAGAAAAGAACGAGTTGCTCATTAATCTCAATCCAATCTTGCAAAATTAAATTAATTTAAATTTAATTAAATTTACCTCTTCATATCATATGGGAGGGGAGGAACAAGTTCTCTGTCTCCCTCTCTTACGCAGATACACTATCACACTCCTCTCCTCCTCCTCCTACTACCACCACAGTAACAATATCAGAGGGTTAATTAGCATTTGAGAAACAAACAAAAAAACAACAAATTAAGGAGCGAGACAATTAATTAATTAATTAAATGTAGAATGGTTCATTTACCAAGTATAGTATAGTCTAGTCGGCTTTTGTCTGTCTGCCAAGTGCTGGACACTTCAAACTCAAGAAAGTAAGCAAGCACCTGTATTTCCAGAAATATATGTATTCATATGTGTGTGTGTGTACATATATATATATATATATAGAGAGAGAGAGAGAGAGAGAGAGAGAGAGAGAGAGAGAGAAGAAGAAGAAGAAGAAGAAACGAAAAAGGGGGTCAATAAGGAGAGATGAAGAAGAAGAAGAAGAAGAAGAAGAAGAAACGAAAAAGGGGTCAATAAGCTGACATTGCACGAGAGATGAATCATGAGATGCGTAGAGAGGAGCGGAGAAGAGTAGATAACTAAACCTTCAACTCCTCCACGGGGTGAGAATAAAATTGATTATAAAATAATGAGTCAATTAACTTATTAATTAATTAATTAGAAATAGATGATGCAATGAAATGAAAGCAGATGATCCACCACAAGAGATGGCGGGGGTTGGGATCTAACTCATAAGGCAGTCAAGTAAACAAATCCATTAATAACTAATTAATTAATATGAAATGAGACGTGGGACCCTGGACAGCCCACGCAGGCAGGCATTTGAGAGAGACCGGAGGAGGAGGGCATTCCAAAACAGCAGACAATAATGAATCATGATTCCTTTTCTTGGTCTCACATACCAATATCATGATTCACGATCAACTCTCTAAAAAGATAATGATTAACACTAATTAATTATGCTATTAACAAAACAAAACAGAAAATAAAGGTGAAAATAAGACCGACACAATTAATTACTAGTTATGATGATTGATTTAGGTGAAGCATCAATTCTTCTTCGTATGTTGTTCTTATTAAACTCTCGTAGTTTGCATGCTCATTTCTCATCACATTACTTCACCAATTGTTCCAATCCTATTTCTATCAAATGCATTCTAATTTCGAGTCAAACCACCTTAATTATTATATAAATCAGATGACATCCTTCTTACCATTTCTTAAAGGAACATTATTCATCTTAGCAACTGTGATCATATAGAATTGTCGCCTTATTGGAGAAGAAAACAAATGACTTTTTTGGCCAATTAAAGATTTTTTTTCATAACAAAATTAAAAATGATCTTGTACAAAATCTCACATACTCAAAAAAAACAACGACCTCATAAAATGAAGGAGAATACAAAAATGTATACAACCCCATATATGAGGAAAAATGTAAATGATTGTCTATGAGGAAGTATAACAAAAGTGATAGTTAGCTTTTCTTAAAATTTTGTTGACGCCTTTTAAAGTAAAGCCACAATTCTAGATAGGTCTATTAAGCCTAATTCTTTATGTCACGAATTCAAAATCAAAGCCTACCATTTTAGGTCTCAATATGATTACTTCGAATTGCAAGACCTCATGAGAGTTGATTGCCATCTTCAATTGAATAGAGAGATTGAGATATTGAAGGACAGTAATGGAAAATGCTCAAAGTTTGGAGTATGCGATGCGACCTAGAGTAGAGTTTACAGGCTAAAGCTGTATGGGCCTGGTTTTAACTTGGGCTACTCTCAGACCAAGTCAAAGTGGAGGCTAATTTTAAGTTGATATTTTAGAGACGGCCCAATATATTTTTGTAATTGCACTTATTCAATGAATGAAAATTGGGTAAATTACATTTTATCCCTTCAGATTTGAACTCGATTTCAATTCTTTACAACATCTTTAAATATTATACTTTTATACCTTAAGTATTATTTTATTTCAATTTTATACATTCGTTAGAAAATCTGTTAAGTAAATTGTTAAGCGATGGTGACTGCCACATTTTTGTCACGTAACTAAACACTTAATAAAAAAAAATTAAAAACTAAAAATTAATTAATTAAAAAAAGAAAAAAACCCCCAGTTCGTCTTCCCAACCCCTTCTCCCCACCGAGCACACCCCCAACCAGAATCCCCCTCACGCTCACACTCCTCACCACCCTCACTGAAGCGCACAACATCACACGCTGACCCTCCTCCACTCTCCTCACTCTCTCTCTCGACCCAAAATCCCCATATCCAAAACCCAAAATTCCCAGATCCAAAATCCCCAGTTCTCGACCTTCAACCACTACCTCACCCTCACCCACTTTGCCGCCGACATCATGACCGTCTTTCTATCAGCATAGCCTCATCTACGATCAGCCATGGGCAAAGTTCACAAATCGCTCGCACATGTCTTCATCCCTTCACGCAAGGATCTGCAAACATATCTTGACCCGCTATTGAAACCCAAACCATTGTTATGATCACAACTCAGAACCTTAACTCAGACCTGCAAGTATGTAACAATGAAGGATGGAGGAATACAGAGAAGAGCTAGAGAGCGAAAAGTTTTTTATTTTTTTTTTAATATATTTCTTTTTGAATATTCGTTTTGCCTTTTCTTTCACAAGTGGCTACATATATGGTTCCCCAAAACTCTCAAAGCTAGCTGGCATGACTAATTACAAAACAACTTCTTATTTAATTGCTAACCTATGATTAAGATAATCACAATTATAACATTGCCTTTCCCTTCAATTAAACCTTGTCCTCAAGGTTGCTGTTAAAACTTGAATCCTGGAAATTTTGCAGTGAACTCATCATAATCTTCCCAAGTAGATTCTTCAACGTTCTTGTCCTTCCACTGAATAAGCAGTTGAACCCCAGCTGCCTTGTTCTTCTTGTAGACCCTTCTTTGTAGCACTGCCACAGGTTCTTGAGCTTGTAGTCCATCATCAGTCACTAGTGGTAACAGTGGCACAAGATTAACATCAGGACCCACATGTTTCTTCAAACAACTGACATGGAAGACGGGATGTATCTTGGAGTTCTCAGGAAGTTTTTGCTTGTAAGCCACTCTACCAACTTTCTCTAATACTTCAAAGAGCCCATAGAACTTTGGGTGAAGTTTGTGGAATGCATGAGTTGCTAATGACTGCAGCTGGTAGGGAATGAGCTTCAAGTAGACCCAATCTCCCACCTCAAATGTTCTCTCACTCCTGTTTTTATCCGCCTGCACCTTCATTCTGTTTTGAGCAATGATCAGATTGGTTTTGAGCATTGTTAACATTTTGTCACTTGCCATCAGTCCTTGTTCAACACTCTCCAGTTTAGCAGAACCAAGCTCATAAGAGGCAATGTGTGGAGGAGGGTAGCCATATACAATTTCGAAAGGTGTGAACTTGGACGCAGTGTGAAATGAAGTGTTGTAACTCCATTCAGCCCAAGGAAGCCACTGGAGCCACTTCTTGGGTTGGCAGCTAGTGAAGCATCTCAGATAGGTTTCTAAACATCTGTTGACAACCTCCGTCTGTCCATCACTTTGTGGGTGATAACCCGAACTCATGCATAACTTTGATCTTTGTAGTCTAAAAAACTCCCTCCAAAAGGCACTAAGGAAAATGGGATCCCTGTCACTCACTATGGTCAGTGGCATGCCATGCAACTTGAAAATGTTTTCCACAAATTCTTGTGCTACCATGCTAGCAGTATATGGGTGCCCCAATGCTATGAAATGCCCATACTTAGAGAGTCTATCCACCACCATTAGAACGACTAACTTCCCCTTGCATAGAGGCAATCCACAGATGAAATCCATACTTATATCTGTCCAGGCTTGCTGTGGAACTGGAAGAGGCTGCAGTAACCCAGGTGGTGATATTGTTTCATACTTATTCTGTTGACAAGTTATGCATTCAGCCACCCAAGCTTTATATCTTTTTTCATCCCAACCCAATAAAAGCCTCTTTTCAATCGTTGGTACGTCTTCAATACCCCTTCATGACCTGCTGTGGGAGTAGAGTGATGCTACTCAAAAACTTTTCTCCTCCAGCTAGAATCAACTCCCAATACAATCCTATGCTTGTATTTCAAGAAGCCATTATCCAGGTGATACTTAGTAGCAGTGATAGTAGTTCTAGGATCTTGACCTTGTCCCGCTACTTCTTGTTTCTTTGATCTAACCCACGGATCCTGTTCCAAATCTCTCCTGAGGTCATCCAACCACCCAAAATAGGGATAAGTAACAGCCAGTAATTCTCCCTGCTCCTCTAAAGGTAGCTCAGAAAGGGGTGCTGACCCTGGAACCCGAGAAAGAGCATCTGCCACAATGTTTTCCTTACCATGTCTATATTGCACCTCATAATCAAATCCCAACAGTTTGGACACCCATTTTTGTTGGAATGGGGTGTTGGTTCTTTGACTCAAGAAATATTTCAGACTATTATGGTCTGTTTTGATAATGAAATGGCGCCCTTGTAAGTAGTTTTGCCATTTTTTACTGCATAAACGATGGCAATTAGCTCCCTTTCATAAGTTGACAATGCCTGATTTCTTGGACCTAAAGCTTGGCTGACAAAGGCAATAAGCCTCCCATGCTGCTGCAAAACTGCTCCAATACCTAAACCCGAAGCATCACACTCAACTATAAATGGTTCTGCAAAGTTGGGTAAGGCTAGCAATTGGGGTGAAGTCATGGCTTACTTCAATTTCTGGAATGCTGCCTCAGTTGCTTCTGACCACATGAACCCCTCACTTCTAGTGAGTTTGTACAAGGGCTGGCAGATTTTGCCATATCCAGGTACAAATTTTCTGTAGTAACCTGTTAACCCCATAAATCCCCTTAACTCTTTCACATTCTTAGGAGCAGGCCACTCCAATATAGCTTAGATTTTTGCAGGATCCGTAGAGACTCCCTCACAGGATACTATATGGCCAAGGTATTCCACCTGGTGTTTCCCAAAAGAACACTTTTGTTTCTTGACAAACAATTGATGTTGTTACAATAATTATAGAGTTTTTCCCAAATGCACCAGGTGTTCCTCCCACGACTTACTGTATATCAATATGTCATCAAAGAACACAAGGATAAACTTTCGTAAGTAAGGTTTAAAAATGTCATTCATGAGGCTTTGAAATGTTGCAGGGGCATTAGTGAGGCCAAAGAGCATAACTAGGAACTCATAATGGCCCTCATGAGTTCGAAAAGATGTTTTTTCAATGTCATCCTTATGCATTCGAATTTGGTGATAGCCAGACCTTAGATCAAGCTTTGAGAAATAGCAAGCTCCATATAATTCATCCAAAAGATCATCAATCAGTGGAATCGGATACTTATCCTTGATTGTGAGTCTGTTTAATTCCCTGTAGTCCATGCATAACCTCCATGCCCCTTCTTTTTTCTTCACCAATAGCACAGGGAATGAGAATGGACTGTGACTAGGCTTAATGAACCCTACTTTTAAAAGTTCTTGCACTGCTTTCTCAATTTCATCTTTCTGTGCAGGGCCATAATGGTAAGGTCGAATGCTTGGAGGCTTAGACCCTTGGAGAAGCGGAATTTTGTGATCATGTGCTCTATGTGGAGGCAACTGTGAAGGAATCTGAAACACTTCATCAAATCTCATTAAGACTGCCTGTAACTCTTCCCTTTGTGGAGCACTGAGGGTGCTAGTATCCTTTGCTGTATACTCCAATTAATACAATAAAAC